TCGCCTTCCTTGTAAAGTGTTGGTCATAAATCAAAGTGGCCTGCCTAAAGGTTACAACTATGGAAAGATACTTGACAAAGTAGCAAGTAGTGATAGTCCCCCCCTACCCTCTGCTCTTGAGGAGTGCGTCCCTAGGGGTCGCCACATTACCATATCAAAGGTGTCTTCCCGCCACCCGCTGCGCCACTATTCACTGACGGTCGTCTACGTTTTGAATAACAGATTAACTAAGCTGGTGAAGGCAGCGTGTATCTCGCCATGTGTAATGGCGAGACCCACGGCCGGGTGAACCTACTTTCTTCTCCATTTGCTGGGATTAACGGCCGCCTTTGTAACTTAAAAACGCTGTTAAGAATTCTGACATCACAATGGTATTCGGTAAGCTATTTTCTCCCGCGGGCCAAGTCCGATTAGGAATTGTGCGGGGGGGGAGGGGGGGGGAATGTCACAAATTTGGCGGGTAATGTGTGTGGGTCGCTTGCTCTGGCTATCGGGGTCACAGCCATGTGACCTGGATTGTTGCCGTGAGTTGGGGGAGGCAAGGAAGTGTCTGTGGCGGCTGCTGTTGGTTGTGTGTGTGTGTGGGACGTATGTCCCCCCCCCCCCTTTGGGTTGTATGGTCACCCTACACAGTCTGGCCATACGCAAGGAGCGTCACCACTAGTCTCGGACGCTATCGTACGACCGTACATGCAACACGTCCGCTTTTGTAGTAGTTGGCTAGAAGTATCGACCAAAAAGTCTTCAATTCATAGCCAATTTAGATATTTCTGATGACTGGAGTCGAGTAAATGACTGAATACTCCAGTGTCGCCTACAGTTGTGTGGTATAACCCGGTTCGTCTGGATCTTCTGCAGAAAACTCTCTTAATTTTTTCTTAGTCTGCTTTTGTTCCGGCAATATTTCTTATTCTTGTTGGGAGGATATTGAACAGCCGTGGACCTCTGCTGTTCACACAGTGTGTTCTGTGTGCTTATGGCACCTCTGCTCTTCACTGACTTGAATAAAGTATTTTACTGTGCAGACTTGGGACGTGACCTAGAATTCTCTGTGCATATTATGTTACCTCTCTTAATCTCCTTCTCAGAGTTCATTTTGAGGGCTTTGAGACGGTCCCAATAGTTTAGGGGCTTTGTGTGTATGCGTGCCGTATATGTTCTGTGTTCCCCCTTTCAGATTACGGGCTATTCATGCCTATGCCACCTCTTGGGTGGCTTAATTTTCATCAATCACTCGACCCATATCTGAAGGGGTGAGTGGGTATCGAACAGTGCTCGAGGCGGGACAACAAAAGTGGGGTCGAACTTAAACAAGCGATTTGAACAGCATGAACATTGTGATGGGCTCCCTGGGTTTGAAGGTTCTTATTATCCTTCCTATCATTGTTCTGGCTGACGCTAAATTTGCTTAGTAATGCTCCGTAAGCGTACAAAGAACACTACGGACATGAAATACAAAAGTTGTTTTAATGACAAATCACATTAAATTAAACATTTGTATTATGACGAAATGGGATAAATTGATAACATTTATATAGAAAGTTGTGAAAATGGATAGTTTTTAGTACTTGTGTATGAAGGAGAGATAGGGAAGATGGATGCTGGAGTGACGGATCACATGGGGAAGAGAGAAGGGGAAACAGTGAGGGGGGGGGGGGTGAGGGTGAGGCAGGAAATGGGGAGGGGGGGTTGTTGTTGTTGTTGTTGTGTAACTGGGTGTTCGCCCACAGATGGCCAATTAGAACTTTGCTTTTGTTGTAACACACATGATGGAAGTATTTAAGTTTTGTCATCTTGCACGGCGGTGTTGTAGCCTAATTAGAATTTGTACCTTTGTGTGTAGGCTGCAGGATTCCTTCGCAGTGATAGAGCTGTAATTTAGAGCCCGAACATTAAGCTGTGTACAAGTGTGTGAACAAAGGGAGGGGGGACGAGTGAGTGAGAGGCCTGTTGGGGACAATGGGTGGGCTGCGGTATACAATTGTCCCCCGCCCTCCCCGCCCTCGCCACCCAAAGGCCCAGGAAGAAGGTTGCAGGGCGACCCGCGGGTGCAATGGCGCGGACATTACGACCGCCCGCCGCACCGTCTCCCCGCCATTGTGCCATTCACACCGCCACAAACCACTTAATTTCCTGATGGAGTGGACACCATTTTTTGCTTTTCCCCTGTACAGTCATAACTCTAGGACAGTAAAGTAATGCAAGAGGAGACAATTGTGGTAGTGGGACTGGAGAGTCGGGGTTCCTGACTTGTGTATGGCGAGGCTTGTATACAAATTATAATAATAGCGGCTGGTAGCGAGGGGGGGGGGAGGGTTATAACTCGGTTAGTGGGCAGAATTTATGATGCTCATAAATTATAGATTTTTCCAGTGTTGGTGGTTGTCCAAAGCGGCAGGTGAAAGAGCCTAGATGAGAACTTTGTGGCCTCGGGTACTTGGGTTGGTTACCATAGCAGGGCACTTATTAAGTCAACGGATTGAGAACGGGTCATGTCTTGGCACTTCCTAAGACAACGGGCTGAGGATGGGTCATGTCTCTTAACTCCCTACGACAGTCTCCAGAGGCTCTGTGGTTGTGGCTTTTATACATTTTGTTTTTGCGTGTGTAGTGTCTACCCAGAGGAGCAGCGTTGGCAAGTTGGGGGGCTTTCCTAGGTCAAAGTTTTATTAGTGAGGCGACGCTGCCAAATTAGAGGCATTAGTGGGCCCGCCGTCAGCTTAGCCTCGTCACAGTGCAAGGGGGAAAAACTTCCCTCTCCTCTTCCCCCCTTTTCTACCGCAGGGAATTTCAAGATTTGATTAAAATGGGTAATATTGGATGAGGGAGAAATGGTTCCTTTTGGAGGGAGCAGCTTGTGCCTGAAGGGAAGTGGATGTGTCGGCTGGAGAAGGATGCTACTTCCCTCAAGCTCCGGAGATTAACTTTTTGTGCTAACTGTAGTGTCCTGGACTAAACTCTTTAGGAGTGATGCTTTCGTGGTGATTACTGTCCAGGCGCCGCGTGTTGGTGACAGGGGCGGGGGAGAGGGCGTTACCTCCGGTCACCACCACCCGTCTTCATCCCCTCTCCCTCCCTCTGTCTCTCTCTCTCTGTCTTTGTCTCTGTCTGTCTTTGTCTTTGTCTCTGTCTCTCTGTCTTTGTCTCTGTCTCTGTCTCTCTCTCTCTGTCTTTGTCTCTGTCTCTCTGTCTGTCTTTGTCTCTGTCTCTTTCTTTCTTTCTTATTTTCTTTTCTTTCTATTTGTCTGTGTTTTTGTGCAAGTGTTTTTGTGCAAGTGTTTTTGTGCAAGTGTTTTTGTGCAAGTGTTTTTGTGCAAGTGTTTTTGTGCAAGTGTTTTTGTGCTTTTGTGTTTTTGTGCTTTTGTGTTTTTGTGCTTTTGTGCTTTTGTGCTTTTGTGCTTTTGTGTTTTTGTGTTTTTGTGTTTTTGTGTTTTTGTGTTTTTGTGTTTTTTCTTTGTTTCCCCCCCAACCCCTTCCTGCGTCGTCATTCCCCTGCTCTAATCTTTGGTTATTTCAATTTCCTGTGTTGGGTGGGCACGAGGCGGCGGCGTGGTGGTGGCCACTCATTAACCAGGGTCTTGTCGGCTGCCCTAACTGTCCTCGACTCCGTCAATGACACTGATAAGGGTTTCTTCTGCCTTACTCCCGTCTTAAACATGTGCTCAAGCAAGGAATGAAGTAATACTGCCAAGAGGTCATTTTACCACACACTGAATTATTCAGTGTTAAAAGTTTGTGCGCATATTCAATTTGAAGTTTTATAATTGTGACAGTTATGTAAATAATATATATATATATATATTATATTTATATTATATATAATAATATACAATTTTCTCTCGGGAAATACTGTGCAGATTTTGCTTACTCGGCAATGTAGGAGATAATCTCTTCCCGCCCTCCAGTCCTCCCCTCTTCTCCCCTCACTATATCCCCTCCCTCTTCCTCTCATCTCCCTACCCCCCTCCCCTTCATCTTCCCTTCAACCTCGGACATTTCCAGTTATATGTATTTATTATATATCTCGGGTATCCGGCTGCACCCGGGTCTCCCCCCCCTTTTTCCATTTTTCCCTCCCCCCCCTCTTCACTCCTCTCCCCCTTCATCTCTCCTCCTCTCAGAACTATTATTAAGAAGCACCAAAACAACTGTATGGGTCTGAGGAAATATATTATGATCACTAAAACTGGAGCACATTAAGTATATTACACATCACTTTGACAATCGCGTGATTATAAATCCTAAGATTTCGTAAAGCATTTAGGATGGTCGGGGAAAGCCTAAGATAAATGCTTAAAGATGTGTATTTTTTCTTTATTAATATACAATATAAAATTCATATTTACATAAATTTGCAATGGGCTATATTTATATATAGTTTATATAATTATCAGTAAACCAATTTTTCGTATCACAGACCATGAGCTGTAAACCCCAAATGTTATACTTGATCCTGCCACGCAAGAACTTGTATATTTTGTCTACTGAGTAACCTTCCTGTTTGCTTATGCACACACAAGCAATATAATCAGAAATTAACATAATTATTGTATTCTTAATTTTCTTGAATTTTGTCAATATGAAACATTAAAAACCTCATTAAATCCACTCTAATGCTTGATCCACATAAAGCTTAAAGAGTGGCTGTAATCCAGATTGCAAGAATAACGTTCTGCTTACAGAAATACAATATATGCATATTCTGAATATCAGTATATTGGTAACTCCTATTGTCCTAAATGCCCATCGCCAACCTATCATTAGTAGGGAGGGTCTCATAAATATATAGCCATACAATAGCTCACGTTGATTTTGGGCAGTATATTTAACATGAAGGTTTGTCCATATTACTAACCAGTTAAAAAGTGGATATAGCCAAATATAATGTAAAAAGTATTAAATGTTTAGGCTATAGCAGTAATCTCTCCCGGTCAATGTTAATAATAACGAAATCCTACAGATTTGGAGCCCATTTTAATTCCACCTTTTCCACCTTACAGATTCAAAGCGTGTCTTAAGATGGCTCGCACCGGTGCTGCCGACATGGTTGGTAACGTGTTTTTCAACGTTGTGAAGACCCGCTGCTTCAGGTTCGAGAAACAGAAGGTGTGCAGAAAGTGGTCATGGTGGGGCCGCTGTGAGAAGTACAGCATGAAGAACGTCGCTGTTTTGAGGGATAATGTGCCATACAATTCCTGAACGCTGAGTTACCACTCATTCCTACCACACAAACTGTCAGCTCCCGACACTTCACGCGCACTACTCCAGAAGCGGGTACTTGGCTTGGCCTAAACATGTTTGAAGGAACCAACAGTACCACTCTGATTGTTTTGAAAGCGAAGAACCATCCCGTTTTCCAGAGAACACAAGTCACACAAGTCCCTCGAGCGAATACTACAACCAGCATGTATCTCCAAAAGATGATTCCAATTTAGTTGTATCTTGGAAGATACTTGAGGTTCGTGTCATTTTTCAAAGCCCACGACGCATGCTGTTCTTTGCACAAATTATATAACAGTGCGGTTCTCCAGAAGTCTTCAACCGGTGCAGTTTTGTAGAGTGAAAAAATACAAACCAAGATTTGTCTCTGGGGAAGCTGACAGATTCACGCAGTTCTCTCGGTGGAAGACTTAAACCAGAGCGCTTCTTCCATAAGAACCTTACGGGAAAAGGCTTTTGATGAAGCCTTTAAGAGCCTGGTGCTCTAGATGGGTCTCGGATGAACACGGGATTTATGAGTTGGCGAGTGCAGTGTTCAACACTGCACTCGCCAACACTGTTCTCCCGCCAAGACCCATCACACATGGTCACCACTGTTCCTCAACGTCACGGCGTGGCTAGTTGCAGTCTCGGTGGAGGCCACAGTGACCAGGCTCTGATACCAAAGATTGGTGGTCCTCATCCTCGAGCGTGAGGCGTTCTCCTACCACCATGGACTTCTCCACTGCTGTGGCTCTCCTATTTTATTAGCACACTTGTGAACATCCGCATTATGCGGCTCCGCCAGACTATATGAAGGGTTAGATTGCCAACTGCTCATTTTGTTACAAAACCATGAGGTCTATTCCTTCTACCCCTCGATGATATATACAATGAATAAAGTATCACAATAAATAATTAGGCATATTGAATAATTTTGTGTTTATAAAGTAATGTATCTATCCATACAGATATAACAAACATTACTCCACAAACATATTAATACCAATTTCTCATTAACAGAAAATTATTAGAATCTAATTTTCATTGCCAATATTTTCCACTGTCTCATTATCAACGAGGGTTACCAATATAGAGAATATTGGTTGTTAAACCTTATTCTAGATGTTGTATGAAAACTCTAGCTTAAAGATATGGTCAAAGTTCTTATACTGGACAATAGAACCAGAGGGACATTATGCATAGTCAGTTTACTTAACAATGGTGCTACAGGCAGAAACTTGTACTAGAGCAACCATGTGTTTATTACATGGTTGTATATATTCATCTTGTATGGCAGGCTAGTCAGGGAAGCCTAGTGAGTGTGTGAGACCCACTCACGCAGCGGTGGAGGTCATATCACTGTACCAAAGTATAATGTTTTATGTTACAACATTGTATTTTCACCATCTTTGTCCGGTCCACTTTTTCACTACTGCACTCTCCCGTATTTCATACCTGTAATGTCATTATATTTGACATCAATCTCGCCACAACCATATTTCTACATCATTATATAAATCATAGCATCGCTAAATACGCAACGTTCATTAATATAAAGTCACCAAAAACATTGTTTCATTCAATCATCCTGGAGCTCACCTCATAAGTGAAGCGTCGTAGGCTCTAGTATTTCCTAGCATAAACATAGGACTAGATTGATGTGCCATATTGTACCACAATGCAACATGGAAGCAGCATATCTGGACAACGCTCACAGTATAAATTACATGTAAGTAAACTCTTAGATGTGTAGTTGGTCAATGTCTCGTACAGTGTTCTACATATTTATATAGGTGCATAGCCTAAATTTATATGTACAGGAAGTATTCTTTATTTGTGTTATATCTTTTGTTCTCTTGTACATGGTTGTACTGTATAGGTTAATTTAGATACTGTTCCATGTGTTTGTGCGTAATGTAATGTTTCTTGAAATGTTGTAAATACAAAATATTTATTTTTCTTCATTGTATCAGTAACATTTACACTATTTTGTAAGAGCGAGCAAATAGTGTCGACACACGCTATTTATAGACTATCATAAAACTATTTTAATTATTTATTACCAGGTTAAAAACTCTAAAATACAATTTATATTGTGAAGAATAAACAGTTTGTGCTAAATACCGATATTTGTAACTGTCGTATTATGACTTTCTTATGGAATATTTAAGACGGATATCTATATATATATATATATATACAGTGGATGTTATTGCCATTTGTGACACATTCCCATAAGTTTCTAAGTTCCTATTTTGGAAATATCTAATAGATGGCATTTACCTGTACAGTATTACTAAATTTTAGAATAAAATATTAAAGATTTTGTCAATATTCTTAACCCTATAACCTAGAGTATAGGTGTTGAGACTATGCCGTGAGAGCTATGTGTGAGGTTAGTAACCCCTGTGTCCTGACCTCTCCTAACCTTCCCAGTTTATGAAGCGCACCAGAACACTTAATAATATACACTATATGTGCTCAGTATTCTCGAATCTCTAATAATTACAAAATGACAATTTTGGCAACACAGACCAACCTCTGATAAGCAATGATCTGATTCTTTACAACTGGTTGGGATAACTTTCAAGGCTGGAGTTCATGCCTTTTTATCCTCTACTGATGATAAACGCGAGCAAAACATACTCTTAATTGCCTTTGTGTTTGAATGTCTTGCATGAAGTAATGGATTTCAATGGCAACCGCAACTTGTGATGTAAATTTTGGTGTTACTCTAGGTAAGGCAGACAATGGCCAAGGACTTTGAGGAAAATGGTTTGACATTTAGGGTAAAGAGTGAATGGCGTAGTTAATTAGTCGCCTGGCAACTCATTTTACTAGGTTTATCTTGGAATTTAATTGCTGGTAGAGATAACACACTTAAGCTGAATATTCACCCTTTGTACACTATTTTTGTTAAAGCACAGTGTAAGATTATATATATTTTTTAATCGGGGCTTTTCGTTATCAGTGATTATCAGCTGTCACTTAAATGCAGCGTCCATGGGATATTTCAATATTTGTATACAGTATATTGTAGCATTATGAAGTAGCATAATCAGTACATCACTGAGCTGTGGAGCAGAGAAGTCAAGTCACGCCCGGGGAGCAGCCTAGTCACGCCCGGGGAGCAGCCTAGTCCCTAGTCCCGCTTGGTCAGAGAAATTCCAGTGTCGTCAATGGCAGTGTTTTTTATACTTTATATTATATTTTACCACAAACGTCATTTAGTTCAAATACTAAACATCATGCAAAATCTCACGTAGCTTCAAGGAAGACAATTACTTAAATCAGTAATGGAAAGAATTCGTCTTGGATACAAATATCCATGGAGATTCGGAATGGAAGAAAACAGTTGAGCAGAGAAGTTGCAGAATCTGTAGTGAGAGTGACGGACACCGCCTTGACCACCACTACCTGAGCGTGTGAACATCTAAGGGTCATTAGAAATGTGTAGAATAATAAACCCCACATTGAGTAAGGCAAATACCCTTTGTCAAATATATATATATATATATATATATATATATATATACTGTTCTTAAGATTCCCCATTTTGCAACAGGAAGATAATGTTAATCTTGTTTTAGAAGCTGTTCACTTGAGACAGTTAAAGTCCTAACTATGCAACCCGTTCTCGCACTTTCGTATAGTCAATATTGACTTATTAAATACGTGCATATGTGACATACTAATTTATTGTGAATATTTTAGTTTACCTTGAAAAGCTTCATAGAAAATACTGACCTTACCTAACCTTCTTAGTATGTTAAGATAAACAGCTTATTGATTCGTAATTACAATTATTACTTAACCTATTATAGGTATAGGTTAAGTAATAATTGTAATTACAAAACAATAAGATGCTTATATTTACATACTAAGATGGTTAGGTAAGGTCAGTGTTTTCTATGAAGCTTTTCAAGGTAAACTAAAATATTCACAATAAATTAGTATGTCACATATGCACGTATTTAATAAGTCAATATTGACTGTAAGAAAGTGCGAGAACGGGTTGAACTATGTCTGGGTACAAGTGACAGGATGAACAACCCAGCGGGTTTTTTTTCCTACTGGGGAGCTGTTTGTTGTACATGCAGCGATGGTGTGTCCACTCATGAGTGGCGCGACGCAATAAACTCGCCCCTCGGGACAAAATAAAAAAAATTATTGTTGTTTACATAATACTACAATGCATTACAATATTAACAAAAATGGCAATGTGATAGCAACGTTCTCTGCTACCACCATCGACCAGTAGAAGGTCACTCCGATAACACTACGACTCTAAGGAGATAACTAGTATTGTATTATCTTGCGCAAGTGACTGCTACACTAGCCAACGACGACGCTAGCCGCTGTTAAAAAAGCCCCATATATGTGTGTGTAGGAAGAGAGTGGAGTACATAAGCGGGACACACGTAGATCCTTGCAGCTGGCCAAGTCTGAGGGCGGTAGACCTGTCAAGTTACAGGGCACTATACACAATACAATTCCAACGTAACTGATATGAGAGAGCATCAAGCAATATAATATATATATACTATATTTTATTATATATTATATATTTTATTTTATTATATATTATAATTGCAAACTATAACGACTCGGTCAAGGATTGGAACCTAGGATGCTGGGGGTCGTACTAGGATTGGGGTCTAGGATGCAATTCCTTTAAGCATGCTAGGTGGGTCGTACTGAGTATACATGTAATTAATATTTTATTTTGAGTTTTTCCATATATGATAGTATGGTGCAGGCGATGAGTCACAATAACGTGGCTGAAGTATGTTGACCAGACCACACACTAGAAATTGAAGGGACGACGACGTTTCGGTCCGTCCTGGACCATTCTCAAGTCGATTATCGACTTGAACAAAGGAACAATCGACTTGATAGTATGGTGCTTAACCTAGGTTAATTACATAAAAAAATGTCGATTTGTTGAAAACCTCTAAATTGATCAAAATAATCCTCCGTGTTGAGGTGGGCGTCCAAGGTCTGCCGCACCAATACTCTGTGATGCTCGAAGCATATTGTAACATGATCTCTCATCATATAACTACAAATAGGTAATAATATTCACTAAAAACTGCTTCCCAAGTCAGAGGAGGAAAAGTATTAGATCGTAGACACAATGAAAAGACTGAAAAGACACAATGAAAAAGGCACAGAGCCCCACGCCCAGACACACATCTTTACCCCCAGACACATATCCTCACCCCCAGACACATATCCTCACCCCCAGACACACATCCTCACGTGTCTTGGTTGGATTATATCCACATTCGTTAAAACATAACTATCTAGGATGTTAACTTGCACCTTGTTAACGATCATAACAAAAAGGCTACAGTTATTCTGAGAAAAACCAAAGGCATTAAATAAGGTCCGGGTCGAACAAGTGTAAATGTGGGAGTTGTGGTGGGGATCACAGGTAGTTGATGAAGTAGTCTATATTACTAGATGACGTTGAAGAAGTAGTTGATGAAGTAGTTTCTGTAAGTACTGAAGTGGTACTTACTAAGGCAGATTAAGGCAGTGTCTGGGATGCAACCGGACGCAGGTTCGAATCCTCGTTACGGCCCTTGTGGATTTGTTCACTGAAGTGGTATTTATTACTCATCTCTCATAGTTCACCTTTACTATGACATTGTATTCCTTACTGTGTAGATTATAGAGTAGAGGGTGGTAGCTCCCCCAGCCTTACCACTAACCATCCCAGCTGTTCCGTACCTTTGTACCAGCCTCTGTGTACCTGGTCTCGTGGGGTACTTGACGCCGCCTCATCCATTCTTCTACTCTCTCCTCCCTACTGGCATCAACAAGGTTCTCAAGCCTCTCTAGTGTGCTCCAACTGTTCTTCCTCACAAGGGCGAGTGACACTACACACACACTCTCGCCACCCACCGCCATTCTTCAATTGAGTGTGAGATTGTATGATGAATTCCTACAATTTCCCACATCGCCGCTTCTACTCAAAACGTTTCTCCATCCTAGTGCCTTAACCAAGAACTTGAAATAGCGAGTACTCATTGGTCGCTACGGTGGTGTCATGATGCCTGACGCTGATTGGTGCTCACGGTTCACAAGCCACCATACACAAGGCTTACAGAAGGAAAACCTGAAATTGGTGTCTTTCAATGGACAAACACTAGACACTAACCTGGTTTAAAGAAGCAAGAAAAGGCAGCGCACAAAGACCTCATCAGACTATTGGATTCCTACATGCTTTCTCCTTTCACTATCACTTATTGTTGCTATTATACTACGTTTTGTGGGTGCCAGAGCCCTTTACTGTGTAGTATTGTGCGAGGCGCGCCTAATGCCACCATACTGGCGGACCTCTGCTCGCTGCAACATACGGGTCTGTCATGTGACGTGTTCACGGCTCTGTACATATTCCCATACGAGAAATACGTCCCCCGTCTGTTGATATACCGTGATAGCCAAATATTCCAGAATCAGTACCTGTAGAGGCGTATACCTTAAGAAATATTCACATACAAAAGCAAAGCGAGGATGATATTCAAAGTGAAGTAACTTACATTATTGGAAGTTTCACAACATATTTGATTTTTTGTTAATATTTCAAGCGGTGACATATTAATTAAATAAATCCAAGATCTTGGAACAGGTCGGTAATTATGATTTACGACACTCCAAAACACACATATGAATTCAATATAACTCATAATTACTGAATATTATGAAAATTAATACATTTTGAAAAAAACGATGGTTGTAATATGTATTTTTTTTATCCTAACTCACTGAGCAATTACAAGTTTGAGCAGCATTATAGCCTTGAGCGAGGCTGAGAGCTCGAGTCAAAGCTTGGCTTGTTGCTAAATGACCTTGAGAAAGGCTGACCTCGAGTTATAGCATGACTTCTTCTTATATAACACTAAGTAACATTGAACTAGAGTTACAGAGGGAGGTATATACCTGAATTTATCTGAGGACCACCATCTCTATTGCCCTCGACGGGGACAGGAAGCCGGTGGCTTGCCAATGGTCCCTACATCAATCCTAAGGATTTGTCCAGTTAAAGTGGACTTCTCCCAGGTAAAGTGGGATGATTCGTTCCTCACATTCCTCTCTTACAGGCTTGTTCACTCCCATGGCCTGACACTACAGTGTGAACAACGTATGTCAGTGTCGCCAGGACCGAATTAGGTCTCTTCACGTTAGGGAAGAGACGCTTCACGTTAGGGAAGAGACGCTTCACGTTAGGGAAGAGACGCTTCACGTTAGGGAAGAGACGCTTCACGTTAGGGAAGAGACGCTTCACGTTAGGGAAGAGATGCTTCACGTTAGGGAAGAGATGCTTCACGTTAGGGAAGAGATGCTTCACGTTAGGGAAGAGACGCTTCACGTTAGGGAAGAGATGCTTCACGTTAGGGAAGAGACGCTTCACGTTAGGGAAGAGATGCTTCACGTTAGGGAAGAGACGCTTCACGTTAGGGAAGAGATGCTTCACGTTAGGGAAGAGATGCTTCACGTTAGGGAAGAGACGCTTCACGTTAGGGAAGAGACGCTTCACGTTAGGGAAGAGATGCTTCACGTTAGGGAAGAGACGCTTCACGTTAAGGAAGAGACGCTTCACGTTAGGGAAGAGACGCTTCACGTTAGGGAAGAGATGCTTCACGTTAGGGAAGAGATGCTTCACGTTAGGGAAGAGACGCTTCACGTTAGGGAAGAGATGCTTCACGTTAGGGAAGAGACGCTTCACGTTAGGGAAGAAAGCCGTTACCATATAAACCCAAGTTTTCACTACTCCCTGACACCCATTTTCTGGTGCTCGCCTTCTTCAAGAGAAACTAAAGCATCCAATACATTTTTAAGCGTTTTTTCCCCTTAGTTTCGTTATATCAATTTTATGTTGTATTATTTGGAATTAACTTTAATTTACCTAAATTAAATATTAATTATTTCCGATGTCCTTAAATTGCATATTTCATTTCAATTAAATGTTTCATTTATATTTAAAGCAATGAGCGAGGACCGAGTCGGCCACAGTTGCCTTCTTCAGGAAGGACCTGGACTGTTGGTCCATAGGTGCTGTGTGAGGAGGGGCGTCCACCTGTGGTGGTGTGTGACAGCCCTGGCCAGCCACACAGCGTGACGGGGCGTCCACCTGTGGTGGTGTGTGACAGCCCTGGCCAGCCACACAGCGTGACGGGGCGTCCACCTGTGGTGGTGTGTGACAGCCCTGGCCAGCCACACAGCGTGACGGGGAGGGGGTAGTGATGCACAATTCAGGCTCCCAAATCGTAATGTCACCAAACCAATTTCCAGTGTTATGGCACACACGGCCGCTCAAGACGGCCGGGCGAGGATTCAATAACAAGACCCGGGGAATATGAATGAGAGGTGACATTTTGCGAGGCAGTCTACCTATGAATATCTTAAGTCCCCCCCCCCTCCCTAGCGTTCACCCAAGACACGAGTAGCCTTTCCCTCTCTTCACACACTCCTTCATATTCACATTACACATAGAGCAAGGAAAATCGGAACTCCTGGAGCCTATATTTACCATAGACTTTGGAAAAATTCTCAACACCCCCTCCCTGTCACCCCCACCCCCATCTCTTTGCATACACACATGGTCCGGACGGAATCTCACCGTGGGTATTGAAAGAGTGTGCAGAAGTACTTTGCTTGCCACTCTCCATGCTGTATAGTAGGTCACTGGAGACGGGAGACATACCAGAAATATGGAAGACGGCTAATATAGTCCCAATATACAAAAAGGGTGACAGGTAAGAGGCACTGAGGTACAGGCCAGTGTCCTTAACTTGTATACCATGCAAGGCGATGGAGTTTTTCTGTTTATCCTGTTTCTGATATACGTAAATGACCTTCCAGAAGTATTGACTCATTCCTCTCAATGTTTGCTGATGATGCCAAAATTATGAGAAGGATTAAGATAGAGGAGGACAGCATGAGACTACAAGAAGACCTGGACAAACTGAAGGAATGGTCCAACAAATGGTTGTTAGAGTTTAACTCGAGCCGCTCACAATTTGAGCGGTAATTTCTTCTCCCTCATCTTTAAAAAAAAAGACGTGACAGACGCATATGTCCTAAAGAGTAAGAGAAGCATATGATCCCTTAAGAGACGCTAAAGGGTTCGAGATAATGGAAAAAAAACATTCACAATGGATACCAACAGAATAAGAGGGATAGAAAGATAGAGGGATAGACGGATAGCAGCCTGAGACTCAGATGAGTCATAGAGATGTTAGAAAGTTTTCTTTTGGCGTGGGAGTAGTGGGAATATGGAATGAACTAAAGGAGCAGGTTGTAGACCCGGACTCCGCTCACAATGTTACAAGGAGATATGTTAAGCAAATAAGTCATTGCATTAGACAACCGACGGCTAGAAAGTCGGGGTCTAAAGCTCCATCCAATAGGTAAATATAGGTGAGTACACACAAACAGTATGATAGTGTGTATGTGTGAGTAAGCGCGCATGTGTGTGTGCATGTGTGGGTGTGCATATGTGCGTGTGTGTGTGTGAGAGTGACTCTCCAGCCTCCACTACACTCCTCTCCCGTCCACCTCATTGTTCTCTCCCTCTTACATATTGACATGTATTCTCTCTCTCCCTCCACCATATTCCTCCCTCATTTTATTTTAAAAGTTCTTGTCTATTTTTGCTCTGAAAGTCTGTCTTTTCTCCTGCTGTGCCTCTTCCCTCTTCCCTATCTTTGATCACAGCTCTTGTAGTTCACTAGCACAGTGGTCTGCGTCCTTGGCTCGCAACATATAGGAACCTGCGTTCAATCCCCAGGCGGGACAAAAACTGGTAAGCATATTTATTTATACCTGGTGCCTCTGTTCACCTAGGTAAGTAGGTACCAGGGTGTTAGGCAGGTGGTGTGGGTGCTAGAGGGTCCCCTCGATAAGCCTAACACACTTCCTGTCTACGATTATGAGAACTAATAACATGAAATATTCTTTTCTTACCATTATTTAAAGTTACGGGAGCTTTTACCCCTATTTAAAGTTATTTGAGATCTTACCTCTATATAAAGTTACGGGAGCTTTTACCCCTATTTAAAGTTATTTGAGCTCTTACCTCTATATAAAGTTACGTGAGCTTTTAGCCAAAATTATATCAGACAGAATATATTTTAAATAGACAAAAGCTGCCACTTATGGGATATGAAACCCGTCTAACTGCTTAAACATAAATTTATTGTTTCACTCTAACGTAAGTGGGATAGGAAAGAGTGCGTTCAGTACACGCCAGAGTGCAAGGACCACCGCCCTCACCACGCTTGTAACAATAATGGCTCATACACACTTACAATATATATATATATATATATATATATATATATATATATATATATATATATATATATATATATATATATATATATATATATATATATATATATTGTTAGAGAAGCACTTGGCCATTACTGCCAGAACTGTGCACCTTGGTCTGTGCCCGGGGCAGGCTGGCTGCCAGTCCTGCACCTTGGTCTGTGCCACCCACACATAATTCATGAATACAAATTAACAAAACCATATTCATAAGAAAGCTTCCTTAAGAGCGTAAGTCAGTAGGATGCTGCAAGCAGTTCCGCCAAAACTGTCATACACAACTTAAAGTCAAAACTGTCAATTACAACTTAAGAGAAAAATGGATTCCAGGAATTTGTTGTCAAATAGTTTGTAAATGTCATTATAATATACAAATAATTAATAATGGTCATAACAATAAAGTTATTCAGAGGTTCACTTGGGTTAACTCTGAGGTACAGAACTCTCACTCAAGAGCATTAATGGCATATGTAACCCCTATGCCATTTTCTATATTATACAGCTCGTAAAGAAATTAACTCAAAATTATGAATTAGAAACTTATTTTCCAACAATTGGTACAACGCAAATTTCTATCAGTCCTTATCATCAAACAGAGAACATTCCGTAGTTGAGGCAGATGTGGCAGCCATGACGGGCGGGCAGTCTTCATGGTCTTACACGCCCAGGTCCTGGTCTTACACGCCCAGGGTCCTGGTCTGACACGCCCAGGTCCTGGTCTCACACACCCAGGGTCCTGGTCTTACACGCCCAGGTCCTGGTCTGGCCTCACTCACAGTATGCCCTCGAAGATGTCTGGAAGAGCGCTCCTCACACTGCCAGGCAAGCAATCAAATTCTATAGTTGGTGTGTCTGTGTGTGTATTCACCTAGTTCACCTAGTTGTGCTTGCGGGGGTTGAGCTCTGCTCTTTCGGCCCGCCTCTCAACTGTCAATGAATCAACTGTTTGTGTTGATCAATCAAGCAACTAGAAATATTATATAATTTGTCTATTGAGCAGTAGATAGCATAGGTGTTCAACAGAGACAGTTACAGAACACGTCACAATCCCACAATCAACAGGAGAGGAGCCCACCTTCCCTGCCAACCTGTCCTCTCCTCTAATGCGTCTCATTTTGTACGCTATGCTCCCCAACGGGAGAATAACGGGGTACTAAGAAAAACAGCGGCTCACAGACATCCAGGTTTTCTTTGTCTAGCTTAGTTAGGTTTGGTGGGTGGCTTGGATTTGTTCGTGTTATTACCCCTTATTTTTTACGTACTGGCTGACTATGTGACTAACTCAACAACCTGAAACCTGAAAATCTCATTTTTTTAACACAATCGCCATCCCAACACCATTACCATGTCAACACAATTTTTATCTCAAGACAATCATCATCTTAACACAGGTTCCATCTCAAGACAATCACCATGCCATTACAATCGTAGCACATGAGGGCCAGACAACGACCCCCAAGGTGCCATCTAAGACATACTCCTTCCAGTACCTTCACCTCCCAGCACACACCATAACCACCAAGACTGGTGCGGAAGCTGCCCGGTAATAAGTGTGCTTCTCTAGTCAAATGACGAAGTAATTGCTACCGTCACAGATATTACATTTTATATAAGAAGATGTCAAGATGTAAATAGAGTAAATAGTGTATGGGGTAAACAGACGTGACAATTATTAAGGACTGACTCTGGTACTCACCCTTGGCTGGGTTTCTTCAGGATCCCGCGCACCTGTGGCTCACTACGTGGCTCTGACTGGAAATAATAATAATAATAATAATACCTCCATAGAGTGAGCCAGATGGAGAGTGGAGCTACTCCCAACAGATCATGCTACCCCGAGCTACTCACAAGAGATCATGCTACCCCACCAAAGTCATAGGCGAGGGGGGACTCCAGCCAATTCTACAGGACCCACTCAACAAGAACATACACGTTTTCTATAGATCAGCTTCGATAGGATTGGCGGATTGCTTTGCGTTCGTACTTTTCTGGACCAGGATTCAACATGCATTTACGCATCTGCTTACGAACCTGTGCATCTTTTCTCAAAATTTGGCGGCTTTGTTCACACTTATTAAACGGTTTACGAGCATCGAAACTTTACAGTGAAATGTTATTATTGTTATTAACAGCCTCCTGGTGCTCTGGCACTCACAAACTGCTCAGTAAGTGTAAACAAAGATTGAGAATTGATGTACAGGGGCCAGATTCACGAAGCAGTTACGTAAGCACTTGTACAACATCTTTTCTCAATCTTTGGCGGCTTTATTTACAATTATTAAACAGTTAATGAGTTCCGAAGCACCAGGAGGCTGTTTATAACAATAACAACAGTTGATTGTGAAGTTTACATGCCTGTAAACTGTTTAATAAATGTAACCAAAGGCGTCAAAGATTGAGGAAAGATGTAGAGAAAAGCTGGCTGAATCCTGGTTGTGGTTAAGCGAAACAATTGCATTGTGTACGGAGTGGCAAACTGAGACAACTTTACAGTCACACTTGATGGCTTCAGTGTCTCATAATATTACTAGTAGCTTACAACCCTCAACTCTGCTTACATTTTTTTATATTTTATTTACGTTCTTATATAATATAGTCATACTTGCTTAGTGCTTTCTCATAAATATCTTATGTTCTTACCTGGTCAAGGTTTTCGCCAGTTACTTTCTTTAACAAATAATTTATTACACACATTAAATTAATTAATCAAATTAATTATCAGTCGAATATTAGTTATGATATTTTCTCAACATGAAAATGTTGAGAAAATTAGGAATTTCATTAAGCTTCCAAGAAATAATGTTCTTTATTATGTATTTATCCATAATTTTTAAAATTATAGAAACTTTGAAAGATAAGAAAGAAAATACATATAACAAAAATTTGAAAGAATACATATAAAAATAACATTTTAGTTTTTCTGATCAATGAAAATTTTTAATTCAGTTAATAAAGTTCTCAAGACTTTAATATCAACATGGCAATTAGAAATCTTGAAATCATAGAAAATCTTTGATTACAAATTCCTTTCATAACTGCTATGGGTATTGCATGTAAAAATAATCTCTTTGTAAGTCGTATATGAAGCAAATAGCACATTATATTTAAAAAAATAGTTACAAGATATTTAATATTACTTATAATATTTTTGTAAGTTAGTCATTATTGTCAGGTTTGTGGCCACTTAAGAAATTAACATAAAATACGTTCTGTAGAGTTCACCAATTTCTTTGAAATAAAGCTCAAAGTGTTGCTAATAATTAATGTAAGATTTTCTATATCAATAAAATGCAAATATTGAAAAATATTAAAAAAATGGTTCGATGCTCCTAAAGAGAAATAACCAAGTTTTGTTGATTGCAATTCAATATTTTCTAAAAGAAGCTTTATAAAGAGAACATTTTGTTCAGTTCATGACTGGATATGGATAGGGACGTGAGCACGATAGCGGCACCTACCTGAGGTACGGGCGAGGAGACGGGTGCAGGGGGCGGCCGCACGCCACCCGCCTGGCTTGCAATGCCGGAGAAGTTAATGTTTATATTTTGGTGGATGCCGCCCACGCCAGTCACACCCACGTCCAGCGCCGGGCCCTGCTCCCCACTCCCATAAGTAATATGGAGCTTGCCTGGGTTGATGGGCTGTACATCCACACTTCTGGGTGCTGGTGAGTGGTGCCGGTTGCTGGGAACAGAATCTCCATCGAAATGTTGAGGCTCTTCTGTCTTTTCAGAAGTAAGCTCTTGACCTTTGTGGTAAAGGGACTCAAGCGCCAACCTTTCCTGTTGGCGACACCATTGGAACATCTCAAGATCTCGCCAGTCGTCATTATGGCTCGGTATTTCTTTGGTTGGTGCTACACCCTCAGCAGCACCACGGCCGCTCTGTATCGTTGGCACAACGACGTTACTCAGCTTACCGCGTGGCCTCCTTAGCTGAGACTCTCTCCACTCTTTCGTCAAATGAGAGAAAGGGTCATCTACCTTCTTTTGCCTGCTACTATTAGACTGTCCAGTAGACAACGATAAAGGTTTTATTCCTGCGACAGGTTTTATGTGTTGCAAATCGCTGATCACGTTCAGGTTTGTGCCGCAGATTTGTTGACTTGATGACTGGAGTGGTAAGTCATCCGAGGAATATACTTGACCAAAGCCTTGTGAATAACACACTTCACCTGAGGTTTGTTGGGAGTAGTTAACTCTGGCAGGCACTGCTGATCCCATCTGGGTTTCCATGTTTTGATGCCGCTGAGTGTCAGAATTTACCCAAGATTGGTGTAACTGTTGTGAATGGGCACTAATTCCACTTTGAGGCCGTGGATGCCACGTGTCTTGCATCTCTTGACCTGTATCATATATAACATAGTTTGCATCTGTAGTTGTGGCCTGCTCCTCTTCATGACGCTGTACAGAGGCGACACTGGTATGTGAAAAAGGAGTGGCTGTCATCTGGGAGTAAAATTGTGCTGGATATCCTGGTGGTTCTGGGACGTGGCTGGTAAGAAATGTCTGTCCTTGGTGCTGTGCTGGAAATTCTCCATGTTCATCGTTAATAAGTCTATCACTGATATATTTATCGGAAGACATCACATGCTGATTATCTATCTCATTTGAAAGAGGTGGATTTTGACCGGTAAATTCAAGTGAACCCGGAGTCCGTGATATATTCTTACTTTGAATATTCTTCACGCCATACGGCAGCAGCTGCTTCTGATTAGTATGTACACCTGGCGGCCTCATGGGCATCTGAGTCTGACTAGTTTCAGTGAACGATGCTTCAGTCATAGAATAATTATTAGTTTGTCCAAATGGAGGTCTCACTGGCCTTTCGCCCTGACCGACTTGTGGCCCAGGAAGTCTTAATGGATTTTGGAAATGTTTAACTTGTGCACCTTGACGTAATGGTGGCCTTTGCATTTGGCCAGTTTGTGCATCCATAGGCTTTTGAATTATATTTACCCGTGTTCCTGAGAGGAGTGCTGGTCTCTGAGTTTGTTTAGTTTGTTCACCTGAATTCCTCATTGAATTTGTATTGTAATTAGCCTCTATCACTGATGGTCGTAAAAATCTTTGATTTGGCATGCTTGAAGGACGTACTGGACATGGATATCGATTCATCTGTGCTCCCAAAGGTCGAACTAATTGGTTATTCTGGTTGATATGCGTTCCCAAAGGTTTCATAAGCCGCTGACTCTGATTGTGTTGCAATAACTGAGGCTGGAACGAGCTGTTGTTATTGTTTACACAAGGATAAGCAGGCCTTTGACCCTGTGTCTGCCATGGAGACTGCTGTGCCGCCTGCTGGCTCTGTCCCTGTGTCTGCCATGGAGACTGCTGTGCCGCCTGCTGGCTCTGTCCCTGTGTCTGCCATGAAGACTGCTGTCCCGCCTGCTGGTTCTGTCCCTGTGTCTGCCATGAAGACTGCTGTGCCGCCTGCTGGTTCTGTCCTTGTGTCTGCCATGAAGACTGCTGTCCCGCCTGCTGGTTCTGTCCCTGTGTCTGCCATGAAGACTGCTGTGCCGCCTGCTGGTTCTGTCCTTGTGTCTGCCATGAAGACTGCTGTGCCGCCTGCTGGTTCTGTCCTTGTGTCTGCCATGAAGACTGCTGTGCCGCCTGCTGGTTCTGTCCCTGTGTCTGCCATGAAGACTGCTGTGCCGCCTGCTGGTTCTGTCCTTGTGTCTGCCATGAAGACTGCTGTGCCGCCTGCTGGTTCTGTCCTTGTGTCTGCCATGAAGACTGCTGTGCCGCCTGCTGGTTCTGTCCTTGTGTCTGCCATGAAGACTGCTGTGCCGCCTGCTGGCTCTGTCCCTGTGTCTGCCATGAAGACCTTTGACCTACAACATTTCTTGGAATCATTGGTATATTTTGTGTTCTTGATTCAAGATTGGATGCCTTTGGAGCGTGTTGTCCCGGCTTCACCTGTGTCATCCGAGGTCTTTGGCCAGCAGTCTGAGGTGTTGTTTGTTGACTTTGCTGCATGTTGGGAGGCAAACATGGGTTTAGCGACGGCAGTCGAGTGGTCGGTTTCTGGGGCTGATTGAGTTTTGTGCGATGTTGTCCAAACTTATATTTTTTCCAAGAAACACCTGATAAATCTTGTTTAAAATAATCCGTATCCTCTATTCCTAGGGGCTCGCTGAATGCTTCGTCGTAAGTCTCTGCTGAAGTCTGCAACTCCTCCGTAAAGTTTTCCTTCTCCATCATGAAAATATCCATATCTGGAAAATCTTGGTTTTCTTCTTCGTCAAAATTACTCACGTTTTCAAAGTCATTCAAGACGTGCTCATCGATCAGTTCATCTGCCAGATACTCTGTACTATTTCTGACAAAGTATCCGTCATTACTTTCAGAGGACATTTGGGTATTAGCAGAGCGTTGATTGCCCTTAGCGTTTTCCTGATACGTGTTGCGGGTATTGTTACATTTGTATATATTTTGGACTGCTTCGGGTTGGTGTGTGTTGTCACTAACGTTGGATTGGAGAGTAGTGTTAGTACGTGAAGGAGCAGTAGACCTGATGGGGGCTGGGGCGTGCATCAGACGGGGACCTCGTGAGGAATACTTGAACTGTGAGAGTCCTCCTTCACCACTCGCCACCATCTGCTGCAGACAAATGGCTTAAGAATACATTACAGATAAAACTATTAGGTCATTAGCTTACAACATTGATCCAATTATAGTCACCGTTTAAAAATTAAATATGTAGCCTTAAACTGTAGCAATTATTACATGGAAAACTGTGGGAGAATGAACAAAAGTGTGTGTTGGAGAATATCTATGAGGGGGGCCATCCGGTGTGAACATTGGGACAACATGGCTGCCTGGGTATGTGTTGTGTGTGAGTATGTGCTCACCTAGTTGTGTTTGCGGGGGTTGAGCTCTGGCTCTTTGGTCCCGCCTCTCAACTGTCAATCAACTGGTGTACAGATTCCTGAGTCCAGATTCCTACCTTAATCTTCTTAACAGGTGTCTGGGGCAGCTGGCTGGCTCTCTTGCGTATCTCCTGCACCACCGCCTGCCCACCTGACCTGATGCTCTCCATCCGGCCACTCACGCCAATCTTCCCGTGAAAACAATTGGTTAATTAAGCCCCAAAACATCATCTTGCAGTACAGAGGGAACTGATATCTAAGATATCACACCACAGGTGCGTTTGTGGGTATTGATGGTCGCTTCTAATTATTGGGGGGAACATTGTTTAGCAAGGTTTTGAAAAATGCTTTGATAAGAATTATTATTCTACACTTGAGTGTAGTGTTAACGGTGGAAACACGTGATATATCGGAGGTAAATGTTGACAATCCACTCTACTATGGTCATGTGTGTGTGTGTATTCACCTATATATATTCATCTATTTATGCCTCCATGATCGAGCTTTTTTTGTTATTGGGCCCCAACCTTTCCAGCCACCGGTTGTCTTACGTTATGACTCTCGCTTGATTTTCCCACACACACACACACACACACACACACACACACACACACACACACACACACACACACACACACACACACACACACACACACACACACACACACACACACACACACACACACACACACACACACACACACACACACACACACACATTGAGAGGGCAGCCTCTGCTGCCTGTAGAAATAGATCCCACCTGCTCATCATGGGCGACTTCAATCACGGAAAGATTGACTGGGAGAACAAGGAACCGCATGGAGGCGAGGATACGTGGAGAGCCAAACTATTGGAGGTGGTGACAAGCAACTTTTTAACGCAGCATGTCGGAGAACCCACAAGGATGAGAGGCAATGACGAACCAGCGAGACTCGACCTAGTCTTCACTCTGAACGACTCCGACATAAGAGAAATCGGTTTTGAGGACCCAGTAGGAATGAGCGACCACAGTGTACTGGTGTTTGAGTACTTGATTGAAGAAGGGTTATTGAACTCGAGGAGGGATACCGAAACCAAAAGGTTAGCATACCGAAAGGGAAACTATGAGGGGATAAGAAAATTCCTAACAGATATAGCATGGGAAACAGAGCTCAGGGGAAAGACGGCCCAAGATATGATGGATTACATCACGCAGAAGTGCAAGGACGCAGCAAACAAGTTTGTCCCAGTCCAAAAGGAAAACAGAGAAATGAAGATGAGAAACCCATGGTTTAATCAAAGATGTAGGCTAGCTAAGCAGCAAAGTAAAAGGGCATGGAGAAACTATAGGAATAACAGGACACTGGAGAGCAGAGAAAGATACCAGAATGCCAGGAATGAATATGTCAGGATGAGAAGAGAGGCAGAAAGACAATATGAAAATGACATCGCAAGCAAGGCAAAGACTCAGCCTAAATTGTTGCATAGCCACATTAGGAGAAAAACAACAGTAAAGGAACAGGTTATGAGATTAAGGATAGGGGCGGAAGGATTCACTACAAATGACAAGGAAGTGTGTGAGGAATTGAATAAGAAATTCCAGGAGGTCTTCACCTTAGAACAAGGAGAAATTCCAGAGGTAAGTGAGGGAATAGCTAACCAGGAACCACTGGAAGAGTTTGAGATTACCAGTGGGGAAGTAAGGAAGTGTTTACTAGAGTTGGACGTGACGAAGGCTATAGGCCCAGATGGAATCTCCCCTTGGGTTCTAAAGGAAGGAGCAAGAGAACTGAGCCTACCACTCTCCATAGTGTATAACAAATCACTGGCAACAGGGGAACTGCCAGATATTTGGAAAGCAGCTAACGTAGTCCCGATATACAAGAAAGGGGATAGACAGGAGGCACTGAACTACAGGCCAGTGTCCCTAACCTGCATACCATGCAAGCTGATGGAGAAGATTGTGCGAAAAAAACTAGTGGAGCATCTGGAGCGAAGGAACTTTGTAACACAGCATCAACATGGGTTCAGGGATGGCAGGTCCTGCCTCACAGGGTTACTTGAATTCTACGACCAGGCAACAAAAATAAGGCAAGAAAGAGAAGGGTGGGCAGACTGCATATTTTTGGATTGTCAGAAAGCCTTTGATACAGTGCCACACAAGAGGCTAGTGCGAAAGTTGGAGATGCAGGCTGGAGTGAGAGGGAAGGTACTCCGGTGGATAGAGGAATACCTAAGCAACAGGAGACAACGAGTCTGTGTGAGGGGTGAAGTCTCAGATTGGCGAGACGTCACAAGTGGAGTCCCGCAGGGGTCAGTCCTCGGACCTATACTGTTTCTGGTATATGTAAATGATCTCCCAGAGGGTATAGATTCGTTCCTCTCAATGTTTGCCGACGATGCAAAAATTATGAGGAGGATTGAAACAGAGGATGATAGTAGGAGGCTACAAGATGACCTGGATAGACTGAGTGAATGGTCCAACAAATGGCTGTTGAAGTTCAACCCGAGTAAATGCAAAGTAATGAAACTAGGCAGTGGAAACAGGAGGCCAGGCACAGGATACAGAATAGGAGATGAAGTACTTAATGAAACAGACAGAGAGAAAGATCTAGGAGTTGATATCACACCAAACCTGTCTCCTGAAGCCCACATAAAGAGAATAACGTCTGCGGCATATGCGAGGCTGGCTAACATCAGAACGGCGTTCAGGAACCTGTGTAAGGAATCATTCAGAATCTTGTACACCATATATGTAAGACCAATCCTGGAGTATGCGGCCCCAGCATGGAGCCCGTACCTTGTCAAGCACAAGACGAAGCTGGAAAAAGTCCAAAGGTATGCTACTAGACTAGTCCCAGAACTAAGAGGCATGAGTTATGAGGAAAGGCTGCGGGAAATGCACCTCACGACACTGGAAGACAGAAGAGTAAGGGGAGACATGATCACAACCTACAAAATCCTCAGGGGAATCGACCGGGTAAACAAGGACGAACTTTTCAACACTGGTGGGACGCGAACAAGGGGACACAGGTGGAAGCTGAGTACCCAAATGAGCCACAGAGACGTTAGAAAGAACTTTTTCAGTGTCAGAGTAGTTAGCAAATGGAATGCATTAGGAAGTGATGTGGTGGAGGCTGACTCCATTCACAGTTTCAAATGTAGATATGATAGAGCCCAATAGGCTCAGGAATCTGTACACCAGTTGATTGACGGTTGAGAGGCGGGACCAAAGAGCCAGAGCTCAACCCCCGCAAGCACAATTAGGTGAGTACAATTAGGTGAGTACACACACACACACACACACACACACACACACACACACACACACACACACACACACACACACCCACATACACACGATACATATACATATATATATCACAACATATAAATGCAAAGAACCGACTAAAGTCCCAAGGACTTTCCACCGGGGGTATGGGGGCCAAGGATCCACACACCTTGGGGTGTGGACACCAAATAAAGCGAAGGGAAGGGCATAGGAGACTCAATCTACGAACAATTAAAAAAATAAACAAAAAATAATTCTTCATCAATATGAAACAGGATTCTTTTGCATTACTAAAAATCAAAATATGACAAATTAACTTGAAGCTTCTGGAGACATGTGAGCATCGATGCCATCAAATGTGCCTCGATTCTCGTGAGTTATAGCTCCTTGCGTTTGTGATTTGCCGTTTGTATATATAAATATGATAAGATTCTTAAGATGTTCTTGTAGCTGTTGTTCCTAGCTATCCATACGTAGAGTTAGACCAAGCTATTGGCAGCTCTTTGAAGTCATACTGATATCTAATAGGACGGGTGGTGAGGATTTCGCCAGTCTGGTGAAGAGGTGTAATGGGGACATATTCGGCTAAAAAAGTTAACACTCTCTGAACTTGACCATAAGCTCTGCATAAAACATAATTATGAGAGACCATAACACACATGAAAGTGATAGCTACACATATAGTCTACCATAACACATATGAGAGGGATAGCTACACATATAGTCTACCATAACACACATGAGAGTGAGATCTACACTTATAGTCTACTATAACACACATGAGAGTGAGATCTACACATATAGTCTACCATAACACACATGAGAGTGAGATCTACACATATAGTCTACCATAACACATATGAGAGTGAGAGCTACTGATATGTTAACAAGCACGACATATGAGAGTGAGAGTTACCCTGACACACAAACCTGCTGACCTTGCAACACCTGTGGGCGCACGTTTGCTTGTTGGCACAGGTGTGGAGGCAGGCACGCCGCCCCTCCTCCACCCCTCCTGCAGCGTGGCCCTTCTCGCCCTCTGCAACCAAATGGAAAGACAAATGAAGGACATGACCGAAGCCGATACAGGAAATGTATGCACCGATAAATAACCTGATATTTGTATCATTATACATCTCTATAATACGAACAGTAAGCAAAATGGAGAAGCATAACAAAGCTTGCATTGGGGGCCCCCAAGGCATAAATCATTTGAGTACTCAAGTCCCGATCAGGGTTCGAACCTGTTACCGGGGGCAAGGGTGATGGAGAGAGCAGAGGGGGAGAAGTGGGAGGGGGACGACGTAACAATGATACTTGCTGTATTATTCTATATATATTAACATTTTTGTATTTCCCAGAAGGCAGAAACAGGTAGATGGAAGAATGAATATTACATCAGTCGAGGGTACAAAATTCCCCAACCTAATAGCGAGTGTATTTTAATTTTTTATTCCGGCATTCTATAGTGACCTTAACGTGTGTGTGTATTAATATTTCATGCTTCTCTTGTGAGGTTTATTTAAATAACGCATGGGATAATATGAAGGGGTGTAACGACCGCTTACCCTGTCGTAATAACCGCGGCCACTATTGTAATAACCCAATGTTCCCCAGTATTAATCCTGTTATCTTGTGATCTCTCATAATCGTACTATACGCTCTCTATTGTAATTCTCCGTCTTTCTTCACTCAATACCCCAGCTTAACACTGTTACAGTCCAGTATGACCCCTCACTGGACTGCCACGTATGTAAGAGGAATATTAAATGAGGAAGATACACCAAGGACAAGGGTTATTAGTAAAAAAAAACAATAACAAAACACATTTACACTGCCACCACCTTCCTGACCAACCATACCTGAATGTGTCAATCACCGATCCCCCAGGAAGGCAAGGAATCAGTAACCATGGGACTCCGGGTAATATGAATTTCCGTAGTAAATTCTGGAAAATTAGTTTGTGTAATTTACGTTACTAATTTAAATCCAAGGGCAACTTTAGTATCTAATTAATAGTAGGAGAACATGGGGGCTTCCAATACAACACCTAAAAATGACAAAGTAGCAAAATATATCAAAGGGGAGTTAAGTGAATACCACTGGACAAGCTATACCATTTATTTTATGAAACATGTAAATTAAGACAATTTGAACACATCACCTATTCTATTTCCCTAGAGGCACAATGGATATTTACCGAGGACACAAAAACTCAAGTGCTACTATACCTTAAATACCCGCACTACGGCCACGATGTTGATGGCTGCCCTCAGCCCCGAGGATACGGGCTTGCGGCCCTGTTCCTGATACACTCCCAAGACACACTGATGAAATTTTGTTTTTCCAACTTATTGCTGGGAAGGATTGCTCCTCCCACCATCTAATACAGCCCCAGGGCTCCACCCATTATTTTTGGCCCTGGCCAACCATTTAACACGTAGGCCTGAGGTCTGGCTCTCTAGGGCCAATAAGGACTTGGCCCTTATCTCAGGCCAATCACCTTCACTGATCTGTCGTGGAAAGCTACATGAATTTCTGAAGATTGAGTCAGCTCTCCCCAGCTAGAGAAGGGGGACAAGGCGCGTCTATGGAGCCCAGACACCTGCGAGCAATGTTTACAAAACTGATAATTTATGTTCAAGCCTGTCTCCTCTAAGATAGGAGTAGGGACATTTGACTCTGCCTGGCATGGGGAAGGCCGCTGCTGAGAGGGACAGAGAGGGATGAGAGGGGGTGGAGAGGGAAATATCTGAGTGGGGAAGTTGAGTGGGAGAAGCCAAGGTATCCACGACCACCCTACCCTCAGGTCAACCTCTTGACCCTGACAAATGGGCGACAGGGGGGGGGGAAGAGGAGGAGACGAATGACGGCCAAGGGGAGGGGAGAAGGAAGGAGGGGAGAGGGAGCAGGTCAACCTCTTGACCCTGACAAATGGGCGACAGGGGGGGGGGAAGAGGAGGAGACGAATGACGGCCAAGGGGAGGGGAGAAGGAAGGAGGGGAGAGGGAGAAGGAAAGGAGGGGAGAAGGGGAGAGAAAAGAGGGGAGAAGGGAGAACCAATGATCTGAGCCCCAGATCATTACAGGGGCCTGAATGGTTATTGCTTGTCTAGGCTACGCAGATAACGAGGCGTAGCTAACAATGACGATAACAATATAACAATCACGATAACAATGACATACACTGTCATTGTGTGCAAAATGGAGGTAAAGCGTGCTTTATATATTATATGATATCGTGTCAGTTTTGGTATTACTGTATTTACAGAGTACAGGAGAGCCTAGTGGAGTCGCCCCACAACCCAAAATTAATATATAAAAAAACGAACTTGATATATAAAATTAGAAAGCTGATTTATATATATTTTATTATTATTATTATTATTTTCGACAGACATGGCAAATTCCCTTAATAATTAATTTTTCAGAAGGAAATAATCTTGTGCTGTAATAGATACATTTCAATCTAAGAATTACGATATGCAATTCATATAGTTTAAAATCAGACGAACTGTGCAACCTCACCTAACCTAAATAGAGCAATTATTCCTCCATTCTGTATAACTGTTAAAATTCAACCGATGTTAAATAATTTAAGAATCACTCAAATACTGTATGTCGATATCATGATATTAAAACAAAATTAACGCTAAGATACTGTACCGGACTGTACTGAGAAAAGAGGGCAAAATTAGACGCGGTAAATATATGTACTGTACCTTAGTAGTCTTTACCAATACTGCCTACGGGCTGAGTCTGGGGGTCCATTACCTTCTACGGGACGGGTATGGAGTCTACTACTGTCTACGAGATGAGTATGGTGTCTACTACTGTCTACGGGATGAATATGGAGTCTACTACTGTCTACGGGATGAATATGGAGTCTACTACTGTCTACGGGATGAATATGGAGTCTACTACTGTCTACGGGATGAATATGGAGTCTACTACTGTCTACGGGATGAGTATGGAGCTGAGGGAGTCTAATACCGTCTGCGTGATGAGTTTGGGGTCCACTACCGTCTACGGGATGTGTATAGAGTTCACTACTACCTGCGGGCTGAGCATGGGGGGTCCAATACCGCCTGCGGGATCAGTATGGGGTGCATAATAAATGAACAAAACGAAGCAAACCCTTGCTAATTAGGCCTAGTCGACCCACTGCTATTAAAAATGCATCATCCAAGAGTTTTAAGAGACAATTAACTCTTAATTTTATCGTGGCTGCATGTGTATTTTATCATGTACTCACCAGGTAAAGTGAGTACATAATAACATACACAGCAACAATAAAATATCCATGTATTTTATCCTGGATAATATATTAACCAAAACTGTATCGAGGGAGATTTACCCCTGGGGGGGGGGGAGGTAGATATACCCTGATGGCTAATCAACCAATCAACTAATCAACCTGGCTGGGTCTGTCTGTCTGAAGAGAAGACCTCCCTGGCTGAGTCTAGGGTGTATAGTAAAAGTACTAATTATTAATAACAGTGCACATTCACTTGACGTCACTGCACGTTAGGATTCCCGACATTTGAGTAATTTGGTATATTTCTGGATATTTGGAACAGCCTAACCGAATAGACTGCAGCTTTATACGCTTCAGAAACAGTAAGTATATAATTCAATAAATATGTACCTTCAAATGTGTAGTGTTAAAATGTCTAAGCCATTTGATGCATCACCGGTCAACAGCAACTTTGTGCTTCCATCGGAACACTAAGCTTACACATATAGGCTTCGTATTTCTTTTACTGCAATAATAATATTGAATAAAGCTTCTGTAAATGAGGAATTTTCCTAAAACGCGTGATCCTTACTCTCAGATCCCATGTGGTCTAGTGGCTAGGATACCTGGCTTTCACCCAGGAGGCCCGGGTTCGATTCCCGGCATGGGAAGTAGTTTTCTTTACAAATCCAATAGTACGAATAAATGAAGAATTGAGTCATGAAATAAATAAGAATTAGAACTGAGATATATACTGGGGAAATAAGATGTAGTTTACCACTGGTGAGCCAAAACAGATTTTGGTACAATTTATATCACACTACTGAGATGATGAGATGAGTCTAAGTCATATGACTTAGAATATAAACTACTTTGCAATAGCCGCATTTCTTAGAGCACATTTGTTTTGCTCTCTACTTGTTTCTTAATTAATGTTTCCAACCAGATGTACACATCCTTAACTTGGGGTGACGCCTATCATGCTCCCCACGACCATCCTCTGAGAATGGGGGGGAGGGGGAAGGAGTGGAAAGCCTAGACAGGTGGGATCACAACTTACAATGGGTTCGAGACCCACCACAAGAAACTGTACTTGTGGTCGATCTCGAGCCCATTGATGATGTAACGATGTGTATTGAATTTTGTAACTAGCTCATCAAGATTGTAACTTGCTTAGCTAAATTAATCGTGGGGTTCAGTCCCTGAGCCCATTATGTGCCTCTGTAACCCTTTCCACTACCGCCCACAGGATGGGTATGGGGTGCATAATAAATGAACTAAACTACATACTTGGGATACTTAATTAACAATGTTAACAATGATCCCAGCAAGTGTACAGTTTTTAATGTTACACATTTCTTGAACAGTTGTGAAAAGAGATATCTCTAAATTATTTCATAAAATAAAATTATGAGTTCTAAACTAGACAGAAAACAACTGCCCCGAGTGAGGATCGAACTCACGACCTTGAGATTATGAGACTCACGCGCTGCCTACTGCGCCATCGAGGCTACAAATAATAATCATTACTTCCTTTTTTTTCAAAATGTCGTCTAGTTGTGTTGATTATGAATTTAAATAAATAAATGTTTATAAATGTTTATTCAGGTAAAGTACATACATACAAGAGGTTTTACACAAATTGATAGATTTATAGATAGAGGTAGTACATACAATGCCTAAAGCCACTATTACGCAAAGCGTTTCGGGCAGAAACAATTTCAGTGTTTCATTTATTAAAGAGAAATTTGAAGAACTTGGTGTGTAAATATTTAGCGGTCTGGTAAGCTTTGGGGCTCCGCCTTCAGGAGATGACCTTCTTTTTTTTAATTATTATTATAAAGTTTAGGTATACACACCAGTGCGTTGTTGCCCTATTCTATTGGAGAAAGTGCAATACCAGACAACAAAAATCATTCCACATCCAAGACTTGAGGTCGATCTCGAGCCCATTGTTGATGTGACGACTTATATTGAATTTTGTAACTAGCTCATCATCAAGATTGTAACTTGCTTAGCTAAATGAATTGTGGGGTTTAGACCCTGAGCCCATTATGTGCCTCTGTAAACGTTTCCACTACCGCCCACAAGATGGGTATGGGGTGCATAATAAATGAACTAAACTAAACATCCAAGTCAACTCACGTACGAGGAACGGTTGAGGGCGGATCTCATTCAAACTTTTAAAATGCTGAACAATTTGAAGGATGTCGATATAGACAATTTCCTCGAAAGGTCAGATGTAACACAAACAAGGAGCAACGGTACTCACCCTAGTTGTGCTTGCAGGGGTTGAGCTATGGCTCTTTGGTTACGGTTTACAGCTCAACAAGCCACAATGTAGGACTGAGGACAGGAGATGTTATTTTTTACCCACAGAGTTATTAACCCTTGGAACCGCCTACCCGCCGACGCCGTACATGGCAAAACTTTTGTTAACTTTTAAAATACAGTTGGAAAAGATCATCATGGCAAATGGGGGACTTTCTACAAACCACCGGCTTCCTCATCCAGGCCACTAGTGTTAGTGACTCTCAGGTAAACTCTATATGAAGGAATAGAAAGTGTAGATCAGCCCCTAGCTATGAGTTCATCTAATATCCCAAACTCACAGCTGGTTAGTCATATATGGAATCATGAGAGAACATGAAATGCGAGGCTGATCTATCAGCCTGTAATACCAGTATCTGGGTACAGCACACCTTCCAATATATAGTGGTTACAGAGCTCAAAGTACCTCATACCATTTGGGTTCAAATCATTAATAACAGGACAATCACGCATATAGTGTTGGAGAGTATGTCCTAGATCTTGCTCAAATAGTTCACAATTGAAATGTTCGCCATTGGAGGGATACTTTACCTGCAGCCACCAGAGTTCATAGCTATCTCTGATAAATACAGCCATGTTCTGTATTATAAGGTCTAGGTCAGCGGGTGTTAAGAAACCTACCTGCACGCCTACAGGTACGTTCTGGCATAGATGTAGAGTGCCTTATATAGCGACTATTGTCAGCCTCTTGTTGAATCACTTGTGATATAAAAAGATTATTGATATATATATACATATATATATGTGTATATATATGTATATATATATATATATATATATATATATATATATATATATATATATATATATACATATATATATGTGTATGTAATATTAACATGCATAAAGCCTTTTCCCAGCAATATAGCACAACTCTGCTAACTCCAAAACAAAAAGAGGACCTGACTGTGTCTTACCATGAATACTAAAAGAGGGAGCAGAGGCACTAAGTGTGCCACTCTCTCTGGTGTATAATAGGTCACTGGAAACTGGAGACTTACCACAAACCCACAATTCATTTAGCCAAGTTACAATCTTGGTGAGCTAGTTATAGGCAAGAGAGGTAGTATAATACTTGCCAGGTGCGGAGTGGGTGAGTGGTGCCGGCGTGGTGGTGGTGGTGATGGCCGCAGGTGGGGGCCGAGGCAGGTACCGGGGACTGTAGCTACTCTGCACGTCCAGACCGGCTGTACCGGGTACATCACTCACTTTAGTTAACACCTCTCGTATAACATTAACACTTTAGTTAACACCTCTCGTAAAACAAATAGTCTTCTACTGATGCAGTTTTATTGCTAACATTGCTACTTTTTACTGGTGTATTTTATTTATAGGTGGTTTTTAGTAAAGTGGGCGTTTGTACTTATCAAAAGAAATTTTACCAACTGTAAAAAAAGTAAATAAAATAAAATGTCTTGATCCAAAACGTTATTTTTTCAGTATTTTATGTATAATATATCTATGTCATCACAGGGTTTTACATATAGTTCAGACAAAGCTCAAAGCTCTCCAAATGTACTTACTAGAAAGGAGACGAGAGAGATATAAGATATAAAATAATATACTGTACACGTGGAAAATACTGTAGGGCCACATCCTAAATCTACACAGTAAAAAAAAATACTGTTGTGAACGATATGGAAGAAAATGCAGAATAGAACCAGTGAAGATCAGAGGTGCCATAGGCACAATCAGATAACACTGTATAAACATCATAGGTCCACGGTTGTTCAACACCCTCCCAGCGAGTATAAGAAATATTGCCGGGACCATGGACATCTTCAAGAGAATACTAGATAGCTTTCTTCAAGAAGTACCGGACCAACCAGGCTGTGGTGGGTATGTGAGCTTGCCGGCCGCTCCAAGCAACAGCCTGGTGGACCAAGCTCTCACAATTTATTTTTTTTATTAAGTTATGAGGTACATCTGCATTAGTGCAGCTACCCTAGACTATATGAAGTGGAGTACAGTGTGTCAAAAAAGCTAACTAGGTGATGCTATAAAATCCCCATCACACAGGATGGTTAGTCATACAGAGGCATGTGATAAGCGGTCTGCACTGGCAGACTCCGGATGCATTTTGAGGATATCAACAACACAAGATTGAATAAGGTAGCAGTGGTAATACAAGTCCCTATCTCGCAGGATGGTTAGTCATACAGAGCCATGTGTTTAATAGCCTGCACTGGCAAATTTTGGGTATACTGTGAGGATCACAAGTCAAGCCTCGCCTCGGGCCAGGCTTGGGGAGTAGAACTCCCAGAACCACCAAGCAGGTAACAGTACAAGAGGTTTACTATGTATATCCCCAATACTTCTGAAAATGAATAATGCAGTTGCAGTGAGTCTTTATATTGACGTGACTACCATGTACAATTATAAATTCAAAGTAGTGGAGGAGCGTGTAGATCACGAGTACAAATGTGCTAGTGCTTGCGTGTGATAGCGTGAGACAAAATGACGAGAGTGACCTCAGTATCAATCCTGGGAGAAATGTTAGAAAACTGAACATTTCAAGAAGAGCAGAGAAATGAATGCATTCACAAAGAAATCAACGGTCATGGTAAAACAGTCTGTGATGAATGATGAGGTAAGATGACTCTTCTGGGTGACTTTGGTGGGTTGGGATAAGATATCTGCAGCTATGGAATTACTTTATCCACCTCCGAGGACATCCCTACACTCAAAAAAAAATTGCTTCATATGACTTGGGAGATGGGGGATTTGTGTATCACACACTACGTATAATCCTTCATATAGTCTAGGATAGCTGGATAAGTGCAGAAGTACCCATGTTAATGTAAGATAATAAGGATAAAGCAATATGGGGTACTGACCCCAGGTCTCGGAGATGAGGTTGACGGCCAGCTCGTCCCCGGCCCGGGCCCTGGCCACTCTCACCACCCTCACAACGCTCCCAGAGATGACCAGCGCCGCGTCCCTGCAACCACACCACAACCACAGACTATCAACCGCAGCTCTTCAACCACACCACAACCATAGACTATCAACCACAGGTCTTCAGCCACACCACAACCATAGCCTATCAACCACAACTCTTCAGCCACACCACAACCACAGACTACCAACCACAGCTCTTCAGCCACACCACAACCATAGCCTACCATCCACAGCTGACCAACCACACCACAACCCGTAACATTTTATTGATATGCCTTAAAGTTCAATAGTTGATTAATTATCGATATTTTATTAATATTAAATGAATTAATAATTTCAAAGTAACATTTTAATCCTAATGAATATTATCATTATTCACGTCAAATAAACGTCTGTGAATAAGTTTACAAAGTGTTGATGTATTGTGAGACTGACGTGACTCGCTGGTGATGAAGAACCTTGTTGTCTGCGTCGCCCAGGATGAGTCTGCAGGAGTGATGTCTGGGGGTGGTGGCTGCACCTCCCCGCACCTCCTCACTGTTGGCCAGGCTCACCCTCACCCGCACCTCACTCTCCTCAACGCTCACCTAAAAATGAAATATATATATATAGAATATACGCTAGAAGTGGCTTTGTATGTAGTTAAGGAGAGTAAAGAGGTACATGCACACACGTACATACCTTGTTGATCTGTTCCAGCGTGAGTTCGTAGCGGGGCAGCCTCGTCGCCTGGTCGCGGAGCCGGTTACCGAAGGGCGGCTGTCTGTTGAGGATCTGTATCCCGCCGTGGACACCGGGGGAGGGGCGTGGGGGAGAACTGTGTAAAATTCATATGTATCCTGTTGAGGACGCAACCAATCAAGGAAGAACCTGGGCACTCAACCAATAAGGGAAGAACACCTGAGCACTCAACCAATCAGGGAAGTAGTCAAGACACACACACCTGACATGGCAGTTGCAACATAATTAAGTGAATAAGAAGCAAGTGGACAGTTCAGGTGTGTGACTGAGACATAGCAGAAACTTAAACAAAACAAACAATAACCCAGACGAGGCTAGTGCGATGTTTGGAAGGTTAGCTCTCAAGTGGAAGGTTTAGAATGGACATAATAAATAAATATATATGATTGAGGAAAGATAAACTTTGAAAACTTAAAGACTTATAAGAGAAGTAGATGGGAAAAGTTGTTGAAAACATAATAATTAAGTAAAATAACGTGTACTGAATTTGCAGTGTTATGTTATGATATTATAAGCCAGAAACTAAATGGTGAATGAACAAATCCACAAGGGCCGTGACGAGGATTCGAACCTACATTCTCGTCACGGCCCTTGTGGATTTGTTCATTTGATGCATCACGCTATTGTGATTTCTGTGTGTAAATGTTGTATGATATTATAAGCCAGACAGTAAATGGTGTATGGTATACCAGCTCGATGTCCCTGGGTGAGGCGGCCTCAAGCGAAGTGAAGGAGGTGATCTTGGCGCGGACGAGGCTGGCGCTGAGGGTGGGACCAATCTTGTCCAGCTGACGGGTGACGTACCTGCTGTTCTCCCAGAGGCGGCAGCTGAAGCACTTGTTCAGCAGCGTGGTGTTGAGCTGGAGCTCGTACTCCGCCCTCGTCGCCCCGTACTCCGCCAGACCTGCACCGTCACGCCACACACACACATATATATATCTCACCAACTCATTCAACAATGTATTTCCCATCATCCACTTGAGGCACTTAACTTTAGTAAAGAAGTGTACACACACATTGTAATATGGTTTATATAACAATAAAGGCAAAACACGCACTCTCACAAGAACGGCATCTGCCTCGTCTTCACTCACCGCCTCATATACAATTTATGCTGTTTGGTATGTACTCATAATAATAATTGACACGTTTAATACAATGTTTTAAGAACTTGAATAATACGGGAATAAAAAAACTCACGCTTTTGAGGTTTGGTGTTGGGGAAGCAATCTCACGAGGGCTATTAAGGCCACTTAAGAGCTTACTAACCTACCAACACGTATATACGTTAGTCCTCAACATTGTCCAGGACTAAAGTCCACTTAAAGTGTATATACACCGAGAAGCGGAGTATACCTGTGGGTATACATGTCCCTGCTCCTTAGACTTACTGTGTAACTTCTCAACTAGTCTACAGTAGTGGTATACATAAGGTTACAGCCGGGTGTGCCAGTAACAATACACATAATTACACAGCCGGGAACACTGGGTTCACCATGGTGCCGCGACAAAGGTGACCTCTCCTGATGTGTATCCTGAAGACACCATATCTCAATTCACGTTTTATAATACAAATCTTTGCACGTAAAACAAAATACAGAAACCATCCGACAAGTTATATTAAGACGTTAGTAGTAACAAATTAGCTTTAAGAACACATTAAAAATTAGAGGCTTTATTTGTACAAAAAAAAAATAATTATAATATAAACATTAACTGTCTTAGTAGCTGTGAACGGATTGAGATTGAGAAGTGTAGAGCCGCATAACTAACAAAAGTGAGACACTTTACAAACACATTTAAGTTTCCTGTTTCCAATTGTTGGGAAAAGGAAGCCTCAACCACTAGCCTTGACCAGGATGCAACCTACAACAGTTGCCTAGAACTCCCCAGTAACTGGATATACATGCTAGGTGAAGAGAGACATCAGGTGAAGGACACACACAGCAGGTATACAACGGCAAGGTGGAGCCAGTCGGCCACTTTGAATAACACGTTAGTGAATCTTGCTTATTTATTACCTTCGTCTCTTTCCCTCATCACAATCGACTGAGAATAGTCCAGGTCGGACCGAAACGTCGTCGTCCCTTCACTTTCTAGTGTGTGGTCTGGTCAACATATTTCAGCCACGTTATTGTGACTCCTCGTCTGCACGTTGGTGAATAACACCAAATTGATTTCAAGTGAGGGAAGGAGGTGTAAATGGCTTGGTTGGGCAGGAGGCGCCGCTGCCCCTCACCACACTGGGCACGTGATGCATGATCATGGGTCTTGTTACTCCCAGCCGCAGCGCTCAGGTATACTCACTCTACACTACTGGTATACTCCCTCACAACTCAGGCGCTGCAGTATACTCATTCCTCGTCACCAGTACCCCCCTCACAATTCCGGTAATGAGATACACTCACACCCCCATCGTCAGCACACACCTTCACAATCTTATTCAGAAGTGAGCTATACTCACACACCGGTAGTATATACTCCCTCACAACTCACGCTGAGGTACACTCACAGCACATCACCAGTATACTCTCTCACAACTCTGGCTGTGAAGTATACTCACACGTAACACCAGTAAACTCCTTTACAACTTAGATAGTGAGGCATTCTCACAACTCAGGTGGTGAGGTATACTATCACAGCTCATACCACATTACCAGCATACTCCGTACCTTGTAATATTAAATGTAATGTAATTTTTGTCAACGGAAATAACATTTGTCAACAAATTGTGTGGGTTCCACACCACGCTGGAGACGGTACGCGTCACTTTGTTGATCGACTGGACAATTAAGCTTGTAAGAAAGTAAATACAGACTTTGACTTTGGACTATCAAATGAAATTATTAAGAAACATTCACATTAAAATGATTACTTCACATTCAAGAGAATTAAGAAGTGGCCAAAGACCCCGAAAACCCATGACAAGTTGAGTAATAATAGGTAATTTCTATGGTCAGGACAGGTATGGAACTCGGCAAGGTGATGTAGTCTTACTGGCTCACTATAGCCCGTGCTACGTGGACATTTCAGTCTGAGTAGCTAAAGCTAAAACAACAAATCGCCATATCTGTAAACACTGGTAAGTTACTGAAGCAATCTTCAAAAGGAAACTAGATTTATTTCTCCAAGGAGTGCCGGACCAACCGGGCTGTGGTGGGTATGTGGGCCTGCGGGCCGCTCCAAGCAACAGCCTAGTGGACCAAACTCTCAGAAGTCGAGCCTGGCCTCGAGCCGGGCTTGGGGAGTAGAAGAACTCCCAGAACCCCATCAACCAGGTATCAACCAGTCATTACCAGAAAATCGGACTTAATTGCGGCCCATACACACACATACGGTAAGTGAGATGTCAGAGTATGTAATACCGCGTGAGAAGAGCAGTGGGAGCACACGTTCTCATTTTCAAATGATGCCAATCATCTTTAGTACTTATTTAGTAACGTGACGTTTGTGTGTCTTGAAGTTACTTGTTATTATCTCCCAATTATTAGGAGAGCAGGCGCCTGTACCAAGGCTTGGTACAGGCGTCTGTACCATGCACCATTTGGTTTAATTTGGAGTTTGGCTCTAGGCTTTAGCTAGGTCTATCAACTTCAGAAGGGTCATGAAAGTCACCGGAATGGCTTACTGCAAGTATAACCTGCCCGAAACGCTTTGCGTAATAGTGGCTTTAGGCATTGTGTGCACTAGCTCTATCTATAAACCCATCAACTTTTGTATCTCACCTTGTATGTATGTACTTTACCTGAATAAATATTTATATTTGTATTTTGTATTTGTACTCAGTAAAGAACATGGGTGTAAACTACGGTAAACTCTGAGCGTATGTAAGACGAGATGCGGTACTCAACAGGTAAACTCTCTCACTCTTTGTGTCAGGGTATCCACAGGTCCCAATCATGTTACTTTGCCAGACTTTGATGATATGGCTGATTTATGTTAGCAAATTGTGTAACTAGTACATCAGTGCTGTAACTTGGGTAAACAAATTTGGGGTGGGGGAGGTTACAGTTCCAAACTCATTATGTACCTCTGTAACCTTTCTCCACTGCTCAAAAGATGGGCATGAGGGGGGGGGAGGGGTGCACAGTCAGTAAACTAAACAAAAAAACTCAAAACTGGATTATCTGATTTAGTTTCTTATAAAATATATTATGTGTTAATACCCACTTCAATACGTACAGCATAACTTTTTTTTTATTTGTATATTTACAGTTGTATTTTTATATACTATATTGGTATGCATGTGCAAATGTATCTTGTATAACATATGGACATGGGGTCTGCAAAATGAATTGTATTATTATTATCAAGATATATATACTTTAGTTACTCAAGACTGCAATAGTCAGCTATTTAAGAGCACGATACTCAGTGTATATTAATCGATAGAAAACGCTGTACTTATATTTAAAAAAGAAAACGTATTTCGTAACGAAGTCATAGAAAACGTGCAAATCACTAAACATATACTACGGTAAATAATCGTTGATTTCTAATACATATTCTTAATATTTTCGGAAGACGGAAAATAAGAACGCGGCACAGAGAGTAAAAAGCAACATAAGACTAAGAATGTTTAAGGGTAAATTCGGCATTTGTCACATGTATATTACTGTATAATGGGATATATTAATGTATATTACTTGCGTAGTTCCCAGTCGATCAGTACTCCGCGGAGATCTTAGTATACCATCAGGATAAACAATTGTTGTGTCTATCTTTCAGATGCTTTGATTTCAGTGGCAAGGAACGTCTGTGTTGTGTTGTTAATTGATGGAGTTCTGTGTTGCTAATTCTGACCCACAAAATTCTGCTCACTAAATCTATTGATGCATTCTATTAGTAATGGGTATTCCATCTAATGGTATAATTGATGGGTATATGGCGTTCAGGGTAACACAACGTGACATATAGATGGGTTGGTGTCTCTGGCGCTTAATTATACTCGAGTGAGTGCATGTAGTCCATAGTAATGTGAGAGTTCCTCCTCGAGTGAGTGCATGTAATCCACAGGACTGTGAGAGGAGCTCCTCGAGTGAGTGCATGTAGCCTACAGGACTGTGAGAGTTTCTCCTCGAGTGAGTGCATGTAGCCTACATAAATGTAAGAGGTGCTTCTCTAGCAAGTGCATTCGAGCAATATATGGTAAATGAAAACCCTCCCCACATATGACAGACATGAGCGGTGAGGGCGCGCATAGAGAGAAGCAGGTGAGGAGTAGAGAGGTGAGGACAGAGTATGTCCTCACCTCTGTACTCTTTGAGACGTACACTTAGTGATGCGCTGGCCGTTGCGCATGATCTTGGTGGCTTCCTGACTCAGGCCGGGGTCCACGATGTTCTGGCTCCCCAGCGTCGCCTGCACCAGGCTGACCAACACAACAATGTTACACTTTAGTAATGTCTTCTCACAGACATAGTAACGTAGGATAAACGCCCACACTGGGGTATATGTGTGAAATTGATGTAAGGGATTTACACCAAGTCTTTCGCAGTCTCCTGAGTGCTTTGTCGAGGTCTGAGTGTGTGGTGAGGACCAGACTTACATCTCAACGTCTAATGACGTTGAGATGTAAGTCTCGTCCTAATCACACACTCAGACTTGACAAGGCACTCAGGAGACTGCGAAAGACTTAGTGCAAATCCCTTACATCAATTTCACATATATACCCAAGTGTGAGTTTTTATCCCATAATATTTCACTTATTCTTAACAACAAAATGACAATTAAGATCTCGATTAACAACCAATATAAAGTTATAACTTTAAAAATAATTAACACTTTATTCCAACACAACCTGATACCAAAATTATTCACCTACTGAACATAAGAATACCATACATGGCATGGTATGAAGAAAGCCACAGAAAAGCCCCCATTGGCCCAGACGAGGCAGCTCCTATTTACATCCACCCAAACTCATTCTACATATATAGCCTTCACTTGAAACTCTCAGTGAAACACACATTTTATACTTAAATATTTCGAATTATGTTTGGTGTTGATATATTTAAAAACCTTCTTTTATATTACAACTGAGTTGATAAAGACACAGATATATATATATGTGTGTGTGTGTGTGTGTGTGTGTGTGTGTGTGTGTGCGTGTGTGTGCGTGTGCGTGCGTGCGTGCGTGCGTGTGTGTGTGTGTGTGTGTGTGTGTGTGTGTGTGTGTGTGTGTGTGTGTGTGTGTGTGTGTGTGTGTGTGTGTGTGTGTGTGTGTGTGTGTGTGTGTGTGTGTGTGTGTGTGTGTGTGTGTGTGTGTACGAACCAGTTGATCTTCTGCTCCCTGGTCTTGATCCTGCCCTTGATGGGGAAGCGTATAGATGAGGTCTGACTCTTGTTCATCTCGTTCAGTACTCGCTTCTCAGACGCCCGTACCTGTACAAGTATTGTAAACAAATACAATTTGAGAGATATCAAGCGAAGAATATAATTACATCATGCGTGGTATATAATTACACCATGCATGGTATAATTATAATGCTGCACCACGCATGCAGCATTAACATATAAGTAAACCTCAAAATGTTAGTTTAGAAGAGTTGAAACTTGAGCAAAAATAGGCCAGCCAAGGAAACGGTTAAGTGGGGATATTTGTTG